GAAGAACACTTACTGGCTTGTTTAGCCTGCTTTGTTACCCAGGGGTACAATGGGTACAGGGTGGGGCCCTGCAAGATCATTTAACAAGAAAATGGTCTAAACATTTCCACAGGCTGGTCTGATGGAGAGAACTCCTCAACTGAGGTTCCCTCTTCCCAGGTGACTCTATAGTTTGTGCCAGTGAATAATAAATTTTATGTAACACCATTATTAGGAAGCTTATTTTATAAAATCAACAACAGTCTGTTAACTTATAATTTTAACTGTGCCTCAAATACTTCACGCATATCTCACCTTCCATATACTGTTCTTCTTTTCTGGTTTATATTTGCTGATTTTCTGACTTTTTTTTCCTTGAAGTGTTTTCACCGAGTTGAAAGCTGCAGTTTTGTTTAATTTATTTAAATCACATTCAATATGGGTGTACCACACTGTGCATTTGTTCTTGATACAGCAGAATAGTGGTATGACTTTATATAGGTCTTAAGTCCATTTTGTTTCTTCCTCACTTTCAATTGTTTTTCTCCTTTAAATATGATCTTTCAACTCCAAACAGTGAGACAAGCCTTTATTGGCCTGAGAGGCTGACATCTCCAAACTCTAGGCTCAGTGTGAAGGTACAGGATGACACAGTATAGGGTAGTTCAGTGTGTGTGTTGGGGACTGGGGCCCTGCACAAGGTGTGTGGCTGGCCCAGAAACTGCTGTTTGGGTAAAAAGTCATTTTTCTAAACTGCAAGGTAAGTCAAACTGCCTCTTTTTTTGTGACCTTGGGGCTCCAGGGCGGGTGCTTACTACTTCATGGGATTCCATGGGCAGATTTGGGGCCCTGTTTTGGGATAGGGGGCTTCTTTATTTCAAACCTTTACATAAACAGTAGAGGGCTTCATTTTCTGTCTTGCCCTTTAAATATCTTTTTTTTTTTTTTTTTTTTTTTAGGATCGAACCCAGGGCCTTGTGCTTGCTAGGCAAGCACTCTACCACTGAGCTAAATCCCCAAGCCCTAAATATCTTAAGAGATTTTATATGTGATAATCCATTATCTAGATTGAAGGCAGATGAATTTTCATTCAGATTTATCTTCCTTTTCTGTACACACACACACACACACACACACACACACACACACACACACGCCCAAAGTTACTTTCTCTTACATCTCTTGGTATTCTGTAGTGTAAGCTTTCAGTTTTGCTTATGTGTATGCTGTGGAATAATCCTTCTGTACATTGTGTAAATTACACTGTGATTGGTTTAATAAGGAAGCTGACTGGTCAATAGCTGGAAAACCAGACTAACCAGACACTGGGAAGAAGGGCGGAGTCAGAGGAGTGGCCATCAAGACAGAGGAAACGAGGTGCAAAATTAAAGAGAAGTAATGCCATGCTGGCAGTATGTAGATTACTATAAATGGGTTAAGTTGTAAGAGCTAGCTAATAATAAGCCTGAGCTATGGACCAAGCATTTATAATTAATATCAAGTCTCCATGTCAGTTATTCAGGGGCTGGCAGACAGAAAGAAAAGTCTGCCACATGTTTAACCCCTGGAGAGTACTACATTTCATATACTGTGCTATTTGTTCTTTCGATGTGTTTTGTTCATTCAACTTATGAAAGCAAACTCAAGAGGGAAAAAACACCCAAACAAACCAAACACTGGCTGAAACAGGTGATGAAGGAGACACTGTATTGAACTTTAGAAATTACATGTTAATATTGGTAGGCACTGGGAGCTGAAGAAATGACTAGAGCACTGGCTGCTCTTCCAGATGTCCTTGGCTCAATCCCCAGGACCCACACAGCAGCTTATAACTGTCTATAACTCCAGTTCTAGGGGATCTGACCCTCTCACACACATACATGCAAGCAAAACACCAATGTACACACACGTACACACACACACACACACACACACACACACACACACACACACGAATGGACCTAGTGACTCACTCCTATTAGGTTCAGTTAATCAGAAGGCAGAGGTCACCAGTTTGACACCAGCCTGGTCTACACAGCAAATTCCAGGCCAATGGAGTTGGAGGAGGGGCCGCTTAAGATGGGTTGGTGGAGCAAGGAGCATGCCTGTAATCCCAGCACTTGGGAGGCTAAGGCAAATGGTTCATGAATTCCAGGCCAGCCTAGACTATCAGATGAGATGCTAATGGGCCATAACCTAACTTAGCTTTCACTCCCACGAGTCAAGTAAGAACTAAAGTAAAGTCATTAATTTTAAGGGAGTGGCATCAGTTTCAACCTAGAAGACAAATATAAACATGATAGACATCAAAGAGGCAGAAAGAGAATGGATTTGATAATTCACAGCTGTCAATGAATCAATGTTGTGTGGGTGATACTTAAAACTCAGCTTTGCCACTTAGCTGAATGCATACTGACAAGTTAACCTCTGTAATCTTGAATCTACAAGGCAAAAATTCTCGTGGTTGGGGCTGGAGAGAAGGCTCAGCAGTTAAAAGTACTGACTACTCTTCCAGAGGGCCCAGGTTCAGTATGCACCATCCACATCACAGCTAACTCCAGTCCCAGGAGTTCCAAGGACCTCTCCTAGCACCTATGGAAATGAGGCACAGAGGCACATAGTGCACAAACATTTATGCAGGCCAAATACCCACAGATTTTTAAAAAACTGTTATGGTTATATTAACAAACAAAACACCAGAAGACATGTACCAGTATAAGACTACACAGTTATGGTGACAAAGATCAAAAATTAAATGAAGAGAGCTAACAGGAATAAAGTATGCTGATTCTGAGAAAAAAATTTTAAAACCTAAAATAATTACCAATCTTAATAGGACAAAGTACGTTATTTGTGAGCAAGGTACTATCGTGTTCATGGATGCCACAAACAGGTTAAATAACCCACTTTCTTAAATTTTTTTTTCTTGCTCTCAGGAGCATCACTAAAAGCTACAACTTGATTTCTCCATAAACATGTTTCTTCATTGTTGTGGCAAATCCCTGGTTTATTCCAGCTCAAATATCAAAGCATACAGTTTACCAAGGCAGGGGAAGTAGCAGGTACTTGTGGTACAGTCTGTTTACATATTGGAAAGGAAGGAAGGAAGCAGTGTGTACGGCATGAGGGAACCAGGGATAGTTCACTCAAAAGGGCCTACTTCTTCCAGACAAGCCCCTTACCTAAGCAGTGCTACCAGATAGAGACCAAGTGTTTAAACAAATGAGCTTAGGGGGGCCATTTCAGTCAAGCCACAACTCATGTATAGCAAGCTTTTTCATTGTGGACAGGGTTTCCTCTATAGGCTGGTCTCAAGTGACCCGCCAACTGCAGTCTATGCAGCAGCAGATAACAGATCAATAAATCTCAAATGCCAAAACTGCACCTAAATATTACTATTTTTGCAGCTTACCAGCTTGAGTTTTTTTTTTTTCCCCTTGTGTTTTGAGTCTAGGAGTTAATTCTTGCTTCTACTTTGCTAAGGCAAGGCCTTTTGTTTCTGCAGCTAGATGACCTATAAGCTTCCAAGCCATCCTCATTCTCCTGTCTCTCTCAACCTTCTCTCTATAGATGTTGGGATTAGATTTCTTATGCTCTAGGGATCCAATCTGGGTCACTGGGCTTCCATGGCTAGCACCCTTACGCTCTCTGCCACCTTCCCAGCTCTATCTTACCATTAAACATGCTTTGTAAACAAGGATTAAGAGAGCAATGGGCCAGGCGAGGGGGGGGGGGGCACGCACCTTTAATTCCAGCACTCAGGAAGAGGAGGCAGGCAAATATGAATTTGAGGCCAGCACTGTCTACAAAGCGAGTTCCAGGACATCCAGTGTTACATAGAAAAACCCTGTCTCAAAAAACAAACAAAAGGTCTTACTTTACTGTGCTATGTTAGACCAGGATAGCCCAGAACGTGAGCTCCTCCTTTGACCTCCAAGCATTGGGGTTACAGGTGCTGATTACCATACCTGGCTATTACTTTTAACACAGTAAAATAAAACAAAAAAGGCTTGAGTATAGTTGCTCTTATAGTCAAACTTAGGTATACGGTTGCATAAATTAAATGATTCACAAAAACCATCTTAATTAAGTTTAAAAAAAAAAAAAAACAGTACACCAGGGATCATCAGGAAAGGGCCTAACCTGTGTTCAACTCCCAGAACCCATGTGCAAGGTAGAAGGAGTGAACACTTTTGTGCTGTCCTCTGGCATCCACATGTGCAATGTGGCAAACTCTCCCTGCCTCACACAAATTCTACTGTAATAGAAAAACAATACTCTACAGGCATTGAAATACAGGGGTGGGGCTGGGACGGGACATGGACGACACCAAAAATCAGAAACAAAAAAACCTACCACACCCTTACCATCTTGCAGGGACCAAATAAAGAGGTTGATTTATTCTCCACTTTCTGCTAGGGATTGAACCCAAAACCTCAATAGGTAATCAACAATGAACTATCATCTCCCACCACAAGCAAATCTTCAAACATCTATAATCAAATACAGTTCAAAGGATCATGAATCCACACTACTTCCCTACTTACTCACTCTTAACCCTGTACTCCTCTAGATCTTGCCATCTGAACCCTTCCCAGTATTTTGTACCTATGTCCAACTCACTCTGGCTCCTCTATTAAAGGTAACAGTATTGTCCTTTGCAAGTATCCTAATGCCAAACTGCAGATTTTATGCTGACTTTTAGCTCATTTCTCATTTAAAAAAAAAAAAAAAAAAAAAACCTCCTTAAATATAAACAATCACTTACAGAAATCAATTTTCACAAAGCTAAAAATGCCCCCACTGCTCAAAATTTCCAAGAATCTAAGTAAAGGAGGGCACTACTATCATGCCCTAAACTAAGACTCACTCAAGATGACCAATTTCTACAACGAATAGTTTGCTTCACATCCAAGTAAGCTTTTCATTCCATAAAGATCAATCAGAAAATTAAAGTCTCCTGAGCAATCAGTATCTAATCACAATGTGCCAGGGTTTTGATAACACAGCCACACAATCTCTTGAAATTTAAAGAAAAATTTATTGAAGATCTGAAAAACAATTCCTACAAGATTGACTTTTCCATAAAACTGTAGCTACACGATGCATTGCGTCTATCATGTTAAAACGTGCATTAGACACAAATACAAAAACCATGAAACAAGCCACCATTCTTTAACAATTAAGCAAAGATAAAATGCCTAAGGAACAACATGGATGACTTGCAAAGGATGGGCTCTTTAAGCACCATTAAAAAAAAAAAAAAGAGCACAGATGGATGAGTGTTCAGTTATATACACTGAAGTGAACCTTTGGCACTAGGAATCAGAGCATTTTGTCATAGAGCATTAACACATATTATAAAAGTGCGTAGTGTCAAAGGAACAGAACCACCAGCATTCAAAAGCAGCTTTGTCAACTAGGCAATAAAACACTCTACAGCATGTCTCTCTGTTGTCCATCACTGAATACACTGGTAGAAACTTTGAAATGAAAAAAGAAAGAAAAAAGGAGCAGGCACTCCTTTTATTTTTCTCTGTTTAAAATCAAACAGAAAACAAACATCAATTCTGTTATACACTAACGGTCTTCAAAGTACATCATTTGTACAAGAGAAGGACTAAGAACCAAACTGTTTACAGAGATCCAAGCACGAGTAAGAGAGAGAGCACACCCCTCACACGGCTTTCCGATGGTACTCAGGAGGAGCCACTTCATAATCACTGGCACTGAACAAAGTTGCAGAATTCTTCGCCAGGTACCTAAAAAAAAAAAAAAAAAAGTTAACTCACTGTAATGTTAAAAGTTATATTCAATACATAGACCACTGCCTCCTTGAAAAATATTACAATCCAAACCAGTAAGGTAACAAAGATACATTAGTGCCAAGTTACTCTCTTCTAAATGAGGAACAACCGGAGGGAATTTGCAAACAGCTATCCTATTATATAGCAGTACTACCCTAAAACAATACTCATTTTCTTTAGCTTTTTAAATAGTTTAATACCATACAGGTAAGTCTACACATTTCAAGTCCAAACCTGAAATAAAGGGATGTGAAATGCAAAATAGTATTATCAAAGAAATTGGAGTCCAGAGAAAATATTTACCACTGTTAACAAAAGGACTAAAAATAAAAAATTCTAATCCTTTACCCACAAAACCAAGTCCAAGAAGTAATCCACAGTAACTATGATCCATATTCTGAAAATTCCAGTCTTTTTCAAATTGAAATGTTTCTCTCTAAATAAGAATCAGAACACCACCTGCCACTACATCTAATTTCTTCTCCAATTTAGTGTTAAATACTATCCTTGTTAGGATTTTAGAACAACCTATCATTTTCAAAAGCTGCTTGATTTTAAATTCTCCCCTATCATAAAAATGTCATCCAACATCATAAGCTGGAGCTGCCTCTCCCCATTTCTTCAATCAACTAATTTGACCAAAAAAAAAAAAAAAGTTTACTCCTAACTTGTATCTGTATTCTATCATTGGGCATTATTTTATTTTTTGGTTTTTCCAGACAAGGTTTCTCTGTGTAGCTTTGCGTCTTTCCTGGAAGTCACTCTGTAGCCCAGGCTGGCCTCGAACTCAGAGATCCGCCTGCCTCTGCCTCCCGAGTGCTGGGATTAAAGGCATGTGCCACCACCGTGGGCATTATTTTTGAGACAGGTCTCAGCATAGTTCATTCTGACCTCAAACTTAAAAAGTCCTTCTACATCAATTTTGACAGGTATACTCAAATAAGTATTCTTACTTATTATTTGTATTTCCTTGGGATTTCTTATAATTTGCATAATCCTCCAACTTAGACAATTTTACTATTTCTAAGTTCTTTTCTTATTTACTCACTTACCCATTTATCTTTCTACTTTCTAATACATGTGACTGTAAATCTACAAAATTAACCTACAGTATTTTCACTGTCTTAATAGCTTGGAGATTTAATCACTCCATCATTTCCCATATCACCTACATGATTATTCTCCCATCATCTGTGAGATTCCCATACATGCTATTTATACTGTTCCAGTGCCTTACTGACACCTGTACAAATATACTACTTATTTTAGTAATTATCATGTCAATCTCTCCTTTCACACATTAATTTTAAGTAATTATCCCAATTGCTTATGATTCCAATTAAACTTACTTGAGGAAATCATGTAGATAGTTCAGTAATAAAGCAAGGCTTTTCTCATCTAGAGGTGTATAGGCCAACATTGCTCCAATTCGCACTATTTAACAAAAGAATTCAGTTAAAGTTATATCCAAAGGCAGCACTATAACCATACATGTTAACTATGTAAGAAGTAAATGAACTGTCAGATTCCATAAAAATAAATGACTTTATGTATATTCATAGGTGCATGTGTAAGCTAAAGACAACTTTGAATGTGTCTTTCCTCAAGTGCCATCCACTGGACCAGGGTTCACAACTAAGTCAGGGAAGCCAGTGAGAACTCAAAATGCCACATCTACATTCCCAGCACTAGATCACAGTATCCCACCACTATATCCAGCTTTTTTAAGTGGGGTTGGGAGGGGGCCCTCATAGTTGGATTTTATGGATTGAGCCCCAGTCTTGTTAATGATTTTTCAAATTCTTTTTCAAAGAGATTCTGTCATTAAAATCTTTTAAATAAAATTTTAAAGAAAAATTCAGTCATGTTTTGAATAGTTATTTTACCTCTCAGTCATTTAGTAAAGATAAAAAAAATCAATTATTAAAGACTCAAAAAAAGGGAGAAAAGATAAAATGTTTCTTAAAGTCTTATTACCAAATAATCTCAGTAAATGTGGTGCTCCATACACCTGGGACATGGGTGCATCAGGGTGATCTGCAAGAATTTCAGCATACTGTGGTCTCTCAAATTTGTAGAGTAGCTGAGTGCCCAGCATTACATTGAAGTATTCCTTTATCCCTGCTACAACCTCATTAACAGCATACTCCCTGATAAAAGAACAAAAATATTACTTTCAAAATACGTAAAGGTTAAGGAACTATAGCTAAGGTGTATTTTATAAGTAAAATCAATTTCAAATTTATGTAATAAAGAAAGGATTTGGAAAACTATAGCCCTGTCAAAATAAGAAGGTATTTATGCTTTCAAAATAGCAAAACCTTTAATGGCTGTGTTAAGTACCTACAACATAGCTTCAATTATACCTAAAATAGTACTTAAGTAATTTGGGTATACTCAAATAAGTATTCTTACTTATTATCTGTATTTCCTCGCGATTTCTTGTAATTTGCATAATCCTCCAAAATGGAATCCACATTCTTCTTGGCAGGAAGATAAAAAAGCTGGGGGAAAAATTAAAATAATGTTTATAAAAAAAATTACGTTCTTTCCTACAAGGTGAAGCACAAAAGTAGGTGAAGCACAGAAAGAGAAAGGTGCTCAAGAACACAACTACTATACAGGGAGATAAAACTTGCATAATCCAACCAAGTAACTCCAAGCAAATTCAAACTATGTCTATGAACCCCAAATACATGAACCCTTAGCAATCACTGTTATTCAAATCCCCATCACGACCACTACACCTGTCATTTGTCAATTTAAATAGTCTGGAGTTCCTAAATCTGGATTTAGGTAACCCCACTCTGTGACACTGAAGTTTTTCTGGATTCCTATATTCCTACATCATGAAAGCAGTTTCTTAAGATTCTGAACTTTCAGTGAGGAAGAAAGAAGCGCCTTAAGACTAAGCAAGTAAACAAATAAGACTCAGAAAGCTGACACTTAAAGATCCACAGGGTCCTTCCCAGCAGCTAAGATGGATCACCAGGGACACAACTCTCACATGCAGCTTTTCTGAGTCATGGTTCATTTAATTGTTTACATTTCTGTAAGCAACCCATCATTCGTGCTCCATAAACCCCAAAACCTCATTGTTTGCCAAGCTGGCATGCTGTTGGCATCTGTTCTATCTTAAATGGTTAATTTGTCTACATCTCCTCAGAGGGAAAATTATACAATATCCTGCTAATAAGTAACTAAACCCAGGACCTTATTTACATTCAGGATCAATTGCAGGTAATGCTATATGCTTTCTACTACTATATTCCTATCAGGACATGTATATATGCTACATTGTTAAAATGCATGTTTCTCCATTAGTTTTTTTTTGAAGCAACTCCCAACTTTCTTAATCATAATAAACTAATAAAATTTTAAGGAACCGGAGAGATGATGGTTCAGCAATTAAGAGCATCTAGGTTCAATTCCCAGCACCCCACATGATGGCTAACCATCTCCAATTCCAGTTCCAGGAGATCCAATGCCCTCTCTGGCCTCCACAGGCACTGTATATATGCCATGCCATGCAGACATACATATCTAGAATATCCATATTCAGACAAAAAAATCCATAAAATTAAAATTATATTAAAATATTTCAGTCATAAAACTTAAAGCCTTTTTTCTTTTCACCAAATACCACATAACTACAACTTTTGTCATTTTCAAGTTACCTGCTTTTGTCTGGTAATCAAGTCCCAGTCATCCACAAGCCATGGTTTCAGCTCCTCAGGAATCTTTACTTTAACTTCAACTCTGTTCATGAATGTTTCTTCCTAGATAGAAAAAGGTATTGAAAACTTTTCTTGCTTAATAGTAACTTCTTTCTTGAAGGTTAAGAGAGACACTGAAAATACACTAATTCCTTGAAGTAGTCACTCATAAAGAAGGAATTGTCACCGAAAAAACAAAGACATGAAATCATATAGCCAGCAGAAAGGAATACAGTCTTAAGTCATAGTGGCCCTACCTGCATTTTTCTCTTCTGAAAAATGGAATATCCTGAATTGATACAACTTAACAGCATCTTCACATTTACTGTTGATACACAAATGATTACCCCAACATGGCTTTCTTCTCCTGCCTCCTCCCTGAGACATGGTCTTACAATGCAGCTCTGGCTATCCTGGAACTCATTACCTAGACCAGGCTGGACTCAAATATAAAAATAAAATGGCCTCTAACACAAAGATCTGCCTGTCTCTGCCTCCTGAGGGCTGGGATTAAAGGCATGTACCACCATGCACAGCTAACTTGGCTATCTTTAAATATACTTCTTTTTTCTGATTTACTTCTAGACCAGGACCTGCCTATGCACTTTGGTAGCATATGTTATTACCCAAATACTTCAAAATCTGAGGCATGAGGCTCTAAAATCCCAAGGCTAGCCAAAGCCACACAACAAGATCCTGTCTCAAACAGTGGGAGGGAAGGGAGTGGGGAAGTAAAGAAGAAAGATCATCAGGTTTTTTAGACTAGCCTGCCAAGGGCAGGGGAACTCACATTTTCAACTGTAGGATCTACCCGGGCTCTTTTCTTCCTAGGAGGCTGAGGTGTCTCACTGGTACTGCCACCATCTCCATTTCCAGGTGCTATAAAATGTGTGTGGGAGGTAGGGGTGGTATTAGTTAACTAAAATTCCTCATGGTAGATAGTGTCTTGATTTATGTTTTCATTTTCCCCATTACAGATGAATAGATCAATTTTAAGAAAGTTCATACTTACTTTTCTGCTTGTTCTTTTTTGTTTTCCTAGAAGAAAAGAAAGCAAAAATTACTCCTAGAAAAACTGTAAACTCTTATGAAAAATAAATTCAGAGAAAGATGGCCCAGCAAAATTTTCAATGACTATATTTTAAGTTTGCTTCCCAAAATATTTATCTTGATTTTAGACTAAAAAAATTATTGAGACAAGGTCTATACTATATAGCTCTGGCTGTCTTGGAACTCACTATGTACACCAGGCTAGCCTCAAACTCAGAGATCCACCTGGTCTCTGTGGGAAACTGCACTTTGAAACACACACTCACACATACACATCACTTTAAAAATTATAAAAAATATTTTAAAAACAAAGGCTGGGTGTGGTGCCGCATACCTTTAACCTCAACATTGGGGAAGCAGAGGCAGGAAGATATCTTTTGAGTGTGAAGCTTGTCTTAAAAAAAAAAAAAAAAAAAAAAAAAAAAACTGGCCAACTTTAAGTTTTTCCTTTACTTCATAAGGTTGAAGTTTATAATAGGAAAGACAGTACTTCCAAGTCCCATTAAACTAAGAACTTTACTTGCACATTCATGCCAACGATTCACAGGAACCAAAAGAAACCAGTTCTTATACTCAACTTTATACACATTACCTTTTAGAGATATGAGTACATAACTTTCATACTATGGGCTGGTTGCCAAGAAGCCTTACAATCCAGAGTTTACAAGTTATACTTTTCTCCCCTCATTCTCATTTTATGAATTTTTAGCACTACTGAAAGTAATCTCTGCCAAAATAATTATCTCAAAACTTGTGACTATCTGACAATTCAATACTACCGTTCTAAGAGAAAACCTGTATGTGTATACACATGTAACTTCAAACATGAGGGCTATAAAAGCAACTATTGTCACTGAATGGCACACTAATTTAATGTCGCATATATTTTAGTGCAAGGGAAGAAGCAAAGGAAAATCAAGTAGCTAATGTGCATTTTAAATTACTTTAATAAGCTGATATCTGAGAAACGAAAATTTCATTGATACTTTTAAAAGCTCCCATTAGAAACAAAATGCGGCCGGGCGGTGGTGGCACACGCCTTTAATCCCAGCACTCGGGAGGCAGAGGCAGGCGGATCGAGGCCAGCCTGGTCTACAGAGCAAGATCCAGGAAAGGCGCAAAGCTACACAGAGAAACCCTGTCTCAAAAAAACAAAAACAAAACAAAACAAAATGTGTATCATGATCAACAGTAAATTCGAATTATACTTATAAAGCAGTATGCAATATTTAAATAACATCTTACACTTCAACATTTTTCTGTTGCAGACCAGATGTCTTCTTTCCTGGAGCAGCTCCTCTCATCTTGCCCTCTGCATATTGTTCCCTTCAAAAACAATGTCAGAAGTCATACTTATATGAGAAACAGCATATTGTGCCTGCTTGATTCCATAGAGAATTTGTATTTAAACTGAAGTTCCCAGTCAGGCATAGTAATGGCACTAATCCCAGCACTTTGGAGAAGTAGGTGGGTCCCTGTGAGGTCAAGGCCAGCAAGGGCTTGCTTGTAAAGTGAGACCCTGACTCAGAAAAATTTAAAAAGCTTATCTGTTAGTATCAGTAGACTTCTAAAATGTTCCAAAACATCCATGTTGTACAGATTACAAAACTATTACAAAAAGAGCTTAAAATAAGTAACACACAAAGTCTGAAATTGAGGCTGGAGAGATGGCTCAGAGATTAAAGAGAACTGGCTGATTTTCCAGATGACCTGGGTTCAATTCTCAGCACCCACATCGCAGCTCACAACCATCTGTAACTCCAATTCCAGGGGACTGAGCACTCTCACACAGATATACATGTAGGCAAAACACCAATGCACCTAAGTAATAATTTTTTTAAAAAATAGCACCCTGGCTGCTCTTGCTAAAGTCCTGAATTCAAAATTCCCAGTACCCACATGGCTGCTCACAACCATATAACTGCAGCCCCATGGGATCTGATGCCCTCTTCTGACATGCATACATGCAGATAAAACATCCACATACATAAAATACAAAAGGCCTGAAAATTTTCTCCCTAGAATTAAAGTTCTGCTTCTATCTAAGAAAAAAATGGTTTTTTGGTTTTGAAAACTGAGGTCTCTAGCTGGGTGGTGGTGGCACACACCTTTAATCCCAGTACTTGGGAGGCAGAGGCAGTTAAATGTCTGTTTGTGAGCTGGAGGACAGCTTGATCTACAGTGCTAGTTCCAGAATAGCCAAAGCTATAAAGAGAAACCCTATCTAGAAAACCAAACCAAAGCAAACAACAAAAATATTGAAGTCTCCAAGCCTATATATTTAAGCACTGAGAGACAGAAAATTTACAAACATCAGGCCTGGAGAGATGGCTTAGAGGTTTAGAGTACTTCTTGCTCTTGGAGAAGACCTGGGTTTCATTCTCAGCACTCACATGGTGGCCGACAACCATCTCATAACTCTGGGGATCTGACTCCTCTTCTGGCCTTCTTACAAATCAGGCACATATGTGGTACCCATACATTATACACATGTGTGTGTATGTATGTATATATATGTAAAAGGCAAAACACTCATACATATAAATAAAACCAAAAATAACATTTAAAGATCTACAGATATCAAAAGATTCAAGACACTAAGCACGGAGCTAGAAGGCTAGCCCAAGAGGTAAGAGGTAGGTGTTATCAAGCCCACTGACCTTAGTTTTCAATACCTGGGCCCCACATGACAGATGGAAGAACCAACTACAACCTCCACAATCTTGTCATGGCACACACAGTCCCAATGTTTTCTTTTGATTTGACTCCATGTTATAATTTTAATTTTTTAAATACTTTAGCTGTAAAATTAAAATGTAGTAACTACCCTATAGGTAATTTTTTTGGGTGCTTTTCCCCTCAACATATTTTCATAGATGAATACTAATGGGACTCTCTTTTTCTTTCCCCATCAGTTAACTGTGCCTTCCACAGCACCAGAAGAGGTTAAACAAGGTATTAATGAGTTTGCACCTACAATTTCCTACACTGTTTTTCTACCAAGTTCTAAAGACAGACTCAGAAATGACAGGATATTTCTTTTACCCAGCAGAGACAGGCAAATCTCTGTGAATTCGAGGCCAGCCTGGTCTCCAAAGCGAGTTCTAGGAAAGGCACAAAGCTACACAGAGAAACCCTGTCTCAAAAACCAAAATAAAAAAAAATAAAAAAAAAAAAGTAGAGTCGCCAACATGATCCTATTTAGTTTATTCCATGTCCAAAAATTTTAAAATGCATTTCTCAAAACAAACTTACTGATTGGCCTTTTGAAGCTCTCGCTGTTTCTGCAAATTGGTGTCCACGTATTTGAGTACTCGGCTTTCTGGAACCCATTCATCCCAACTGAAAAGACAAGTTAAAACACACTGAAATACATTTCTAATATAGTTTAGGCTCTCTTCCAATTAATTTTTAAAGATTTAAATGGCAAAACTGTGAAATTCCCTTGATATATAACGTGTTTTAATTTTGTTCTTTTAACATCTATTTGTGTGTGTGTGTGTGTGTGTGTGTGTGTGTGTGTGTGTGTGTGTGTGTGTACACAAGTGCATGTTATAGAACGTGTGTGGAGGTCAGAAAACAACTTTTAGGAGTCGATTCTTTCACTGTGTAGGTCCTGGAGATCCAACTTGGTTCTTCACCCTTGGAAGAAAGTACTTTTACCCACTGAACCATCTTGTCAACCCTAGTTTTTTTGAGACATTTTTTAATGAATTCCAAGTTGGCCTTGAATTCATGGTAACCCTCCTGCCTCAGTATCCCAAATTCTATAATTACAGGCACACAAAAACCATGCCCAGCTTTTTCTGATATAATTTGGTAAGCTGGAAAGGTAAATCCATTCTCAACTAAAAGAAAAATCTAAGCAAAGTGTGTTTTAATAAGAAGCAGCATTCCAAATATAAACCATGTGTGTAGATTATTCAAATCATTTTTAAATGGTCTAAGAGTAAGTCATTTAAGAGTCTCTAAGTCATCTAAGCTTTTCAGAATTACAGTACTATCTTAAGTTACACAGCTCACACATGCTAAAAGTACATCAGGAACCCAGGTCTACAATACTCACCACCTAGACGACTAGACTAAATTTGTACATTAAAGGCTTTCAGTGTTTTGTTTTGTTTTTTCCCAGATAACCCATTGTTCACTTTCATCTAATCCAAGTAAGCATTCCAATTTCCAAGGGGGATTAGAGGCTTTCTAAAAACTCAGGTATCTGATTTCTCATAAAACAAGCTTTTTGCTGATGTGTATGGAAAAACAAAATTTTCTTGTGGAATGTTGAACTTTTAAAGCAAACTAATTTTTGAACAAAATTAGTCTTTTCTCCTGCTGATGGAGCTCCATTAGTGACACAATCAGGTGTATTCTTGAGGCAATCTTTTACTTACTGATTTCCCACCTCTGACCTCTTATAGAGTGTAGCCAAAAGGAAAAGTAGTAAATAAAAAACATTCCTCAACATGATTTCCTAAAGAAAACTTTAAAACATGCATTTACCTAGAGGTCAGGAGGGGGTGGTGTACTGAGGGAGCTCCTTCAGGAACAGGAAAAAGGGCTACAATATCCTCACGTGTCTTCAAAGATTTTTCAGAGCGCCTGGGCCTCACAGCACTTCTGATACAGACAGCACAGTACAAAGTAGTCTCAGTAACTATGTGCAGAATTGAGCTTAAGCTTTATCAAGACTCATTTACAAATGGAATAGTTAATGTCTGTATGAACAAATTCCAGGAAGATTTTTTGAAAATTTAGAACTTAGTATCTACTGTGATTTTGAGAGTGTATCCAGAGTAATGTCTAAAGAAAAATCCAGTGTGAAATTGGAATTTTACTGTACCAATGTATTTAGAAGGTGTCCTACAGCAGGACATAGTGGTGCACACCTTTAATCCCAGCACTCTGGAGGTAGAAGCAGATAGATCTGAGTTCCAGGCTAGCCTGGTCTACATACCAAGTTCCAGACCAGCCAGGGCTACATATTAAGACCTTGTCTCTAAGTAAATAGGTAAGTATCCTAGAATAGGACTTTTATTTCTTTTGGGGGGGAGGGGACAGGTAACTAGAGATTGAGCCAGGGCTCTATGCACGCTGGGCAAGAAAGAGCTCTACCACTGAAACTACATCCCTATCCGTGAAGCCCCTTTAAAAGTCTATTTCCCTATTCTCCTAAAATTAAAAGGTGCGAACTTTTAACTGCTTTAAACCCTTAGAAATTCTCTCCCCCCTCAGATGCAAACCACATCTAAACAAGCACTCTGATCAACCAATTACCAAGGCACTCTGAGAGCTTATTAGCAAAAGAGCTGAAAATCCTCACTGAAACTGAGGAAAACCAAAATGGACAACCATCTTTGTTCTAAGGAAATCTCTCTACTAGACTAGTAACTGAGGGCCACTCGAATTTTAAGTATAGATCAAGCATGTAACTTTCATTATTTTCCAAAGCAGTTGTGACTAATCCTAAAAGTCAAATCTACAGGCAAAATCGAATACACACATAATATACTTGACAGGCATTTAAAAAACACTCCTCTCAAATGGTTTTAAGTTTCTCTAGAGCTGGATGTGGTGGTACAAACAAGCCTGTAATCTCAGCATTCTGATTACTGCAAGTTCCAGGATAGGCAAAGCTACAAAGGAAGACCCAGTTTCAAAAAAGAAAAATCACTTCTAAATACTTACTAAAGGCTACAATGGCACGTTTAACAAATCAACTATAAAGACACCTATGATATTCTCCTCACTACACTGCAGACAGTCATAAAAACCTGTAATGTCTGCTACCACCACCGCCACTCCCTATTTTCCCAAGAGAACAAGAGTTTTAAAAAACTGCCACTTATTTCTGTCATGAACTACAATCCAAAGGAAAAACTACTTTTTGAAAAAAAGTAAAACCAGAAAACTAGAGGTTTTGGTTTTCATAAAAACCATTTCATATCTACATAAATAGCTACCTAGCATACAAAACTGAAGCATAAAAGTATGTTTTAAATTAAAATGTACAAGGGAAGGGTAAGTAGGCCCACTCCATGAATCTGTTTTGTGTTTTCCTTTCATAGTTTATATGGACTTTTAACTTTCTCATCCCTAATATGCATTAAGAAAATATTCTACTTCCTGTAGGAAAGCATCTATTGCACATTTTATCTGGATATTAGCAAAATATCAGCCTCATAAACTAAAGATGAAATTCAGTTTTCAGTTCTTTTTTTAAAATATACTCTAGAAACTGTAACATAAAAGTCTTTTTCCTGAATATTTCAATCAACTTTAAAAAAAAAATCAAAATTTATGTATTTATTTTTGATACAGGGTCCCACGATGTAGTTCTGGCTGGCCTGAAGAGATCAGCCTGCCTCTGCCTGAGTGCTGACATTAAAGAAATGTGCCAACACACCTAGCTCCCACTTTCTTAATACAAGACTGGGGTAATTCTGAAGTACTGACAGTACCTACTGATCATTATTAGAAATATTAGAAATTTACTTTTATGTATTTTGAATTGTGGCCTTTCTACAATTATATTAATGAAATAAGTTAAAAGTTTGGTATTTCTCACCTAAAAGCATTTATCTATTTGTAACAAATAAACTGAATTAACTAGTTGGGCTTTCGGATAAAGAACTATATAAAGTGAGACCCAAATTATGGGGCCAGTAAACTTAACAGAAGAAAAAGAAAACTTTTCCTCTATATCAAGAGTACCCATCACAACAGTTGGCACTGTTCCCATGTAAAGAAGTACTAGACTCTGGGTAAAGTGAGACAAAGCATTAAGCATTACAAGATATCAGAAAGTAATTCCTGAAATGGCTAATTCTTTGCAATGGCATCCCTGAAGTACAAAAGATCAATAATAAAAAGGATTTAAAACTTCTCCTACTAAGCTGGATGTGATGGCAAAGGCCTTTAATCCCAAAGAGAGGTGAATCTCTATGAGTTCCAGGCTAGCCTGGTCTACAAAGCAAGTTCCAAGACAGCCAAGGCTACACAGAGAAACTGCCTCAAAAAAAAAAAAAAAACAAAAAACTCCTAGTTTAAAAAAAAAAAAAAAACCACTCAATTACAGACACCAAAAGCTTAAATAATTTATTAGGTTCTGTTATGTTTGGGTCTCAAAGAGAACACTACTGAGAAAGATCCAATAACCAATAGAAAATTAAATTCCGTAAAGAGAATTTTCTATACTGAACCACATGAAACTACTTTCTGTTAACATTGTCTCAAAACTTCATAAAATAGATTTATAAACTGTCAATTCTAAAACATTTTCCTCTGTTCTCCTTTTCTACAATTAGTTGAGTTTAACTGCTTAAATAAGAAGATAAGTCATTTGGTTTGTGCTCAGGCCAAAAATATTCAGGCTATCCTAAAACATATGCCATAAAAAAGTACGTTGACTCATAATTCAACCAGGATAGCTGATCAAGTATAACCACTGGGCACTACAAAATACAAGAAATATTCCCAAAAAACCAAGTACATATAAAATGGCTGAGTTCTCCCTAATGTTGCTGCATCATACTAACAATGGCTCACCCTTGCTCTGATATACAACAGTGGACAAAATGCTTTTAAAGATCTAATACTCACTTTTTATTCCAACCACTGTAATGGATAAAGTATTTCACTTGTTTGTCCTTTATGGCAACCTTTACACACTGAAATAAAAAAAGAAAGTCTTTGGTATTACACATGATCTTATCAAATTTTCATCCTAACGACAGGTATGTTCTTTCTAAATAAAGAATTAAATCTTGGTTGAATTATTTAGTACTGTAAAACTTTTAATTAGAGCACTTTCAAGGACTGGGAGTCGTTGGTCGGTTTGATTTTATAATCTTAGTGCTGAGAATACTTTTCTATAAAGTTACAAAACCACAATTTAGAAATGAACACAAAGCTGGCAAACAGCATAAAGAGGTCACTATACATCAACAGTTTAGATCTGCTACCGGAGGTCAGAAAAGGAAAGCTATTCTTATGGTTTTTCAAACTCTAGCTAAGAACTACATTTCTTTCAAAAATACAATCTCATCAGTTTATGAACTACAGTATGCTTTAAAGGCATTCTTAAAAGGAGCCGAACAAAACAAATTACTGGAGGAACGTCACTGTGACAGTCATGTTTATATGACTTTAGATTTAAGGGTGTTCACTGTAGACCAAACAATGTTTTATTCCTATCACTACTTAAAAATTTTTTCACCAGAATATTTTGCTGATAGAGAAAAAAGTCAGTTCAGATATGTTTGCCAAAAGTTCATACAACAAACATTGAAAAACATACAAGATCAAAGGGACTCACAGTTAGAAACAAACACCTACACATTCAAAGCATGAGCAGTGAACATTTTTAGTCAGCACTGTCTGGCACTGTCTTCAGAGTATTTCCACACAAATATAAAGCTGGATATTCCCCCGAAGTCACTTTTAGGCATTATGCCTATGGTATGCATGTGTCTGTGTCACTGCACTTTTATTGGTTTTCTGTACTGGGGACTGAAGCAGGGCCTCACTTGTGGAAAGTACTTTACCACTAAGCATTCCCTGCCTTGTTTACTACTTTGTTGAGACAGGGTGATCTCACTAAGGCCATGCTTGAACTCTGTATTCCAAGTAATCTTTCTGTCTCAACTTCCCAAGAAGCCTGGTTCATAGGCCTGTGTCATTCAGTTTACATGTGTGGGTTTTTTTTTTTTTGGGGGGGGGGGGGGGTTGGGAAGAGTAGCACTGAGATTGAGCTCAGGGCCTCAATCATGGTAGGCAAATATTCTACCATGTAACTAGCCAGCAGCCTTTGTGTTCAATTCTTAAATGCCTGCCCAGGCACACCTTTAATTCTAGCACTGAGGAGGTTAGAGGCAGTCCCATCTCTGTGAGTTTAAGACCACCCTGGTCTAAATAGTGAGTTCCAGGCCAGCTAGGTCTACAAAGTAAGCATCTGTCTCAAAGTAATATTAAAAAAAAAAAAAAAAGCCTGTAATCCCAGTCCTCAACAAGCAGTCAGAATAAGATTTGGAGTCTAGACTAGCTATGTACTGAAGTTAAGGACAATCTGAGCTCTATAGCAAGATCCTGTCTCAAAGTAAAGGGCTAGGAATGTAGCTTACTGGTAGAGCACTTCTCCAGCAAACAAAAGGCCCCAGTTTTGAGCCCCAGCAGTGTCAAAAAGGATGGGGCAAGTTTTCATTTTCTGTGCTGGACTGGGTGTAACTCAGTGAGAGAGAACATGGCTAGAGTGTTAAAACCCCTGGGTTCAGCCCCAGAATGACACCTCAACCTCAATTCCACCAAAAGTCATCAGAAATAAAATGGCAAAAATAACTTTGGACTTTATTAAAATACATTGTCCAGGGCGTGGGGATGTAACTGCAGTGTATTTTACTTTTATCTCTGGCTATTTTTTTCTTTCTTTTGGTTTTTTGAGACAAGAGTTTCTGTGTGTAGCCCTAGCTGTCCTGGAACTCACTCTGTAGACCAGGCTGGCCTCGAACTCAGATCCACCTGCCTCTTCCTACTGAGTGCTAGGATTAATGGCTCCACCACCAGGCATCTAAATTTAAAGTCACTTTTTTTTTTTT